CTATTAAACTGTCTTTATCTCAACCCATGATTTTTCTCACTTTTACTCTTCAGATTCTCTCCCCCATCCCACCAGGGTGGGGGGGAGGGGAGGAGTGAGCGAGCAGCTGGGTGGTGCTTAGTTGCCAGCTGGGGTTAAACCACGTGTCTAGATTTCTCCCCACTCAAGTGTAGTGATCCTCAAGAGGAGTTCGTTTTTCACAGAGTCACAGAATGGATGATGTTGGAAGGGACCTCTGGAGGTCATCTGCTCCAACCCCCTACTCAAGCAGGGCACCTAGACCTGGCTGCCCAGGACCATGTCCAGATGGCTTTTGAATACCCTCAAGGACGGAGAGTCCACAGCCTTTCCTGGCAACCTCCTTCCAGTGCTCAGTCACCCTCCTTTTTTGGAGCTAAGGTTGTTTCTGGGGAAAACAGTGATGCGCATCTCTAAAAGCAATGAGCATCTCCAAAGGTTAAGCAAGCCCATGTACACTGAATAGCACTTTGCAGATGCTGATCCTTCTGCACTGGTTTTAAGAATATCTGAGGGTGACAGACTGGGAATTTGAACATCTCAATTAAGTTCCAAAACTTAGAGACTTAACCTGTAACTATGAGCTTAGTGTTGGGATGACATTGGTCTGTCCCGTGTGTCATCAGAATCACAGTGTCCAGCTGAACGTGTCAAGTCAGGTTGCCTTCATTTTTCAATTGTGGGGAATTTTTGTTGTAATTGTGGGACAAGGGGTGGCGTTTGTGTAAATTGACCACCTTTGTCAATGTCGTGATGATGTTATTTTTACTTCAGCCTGAGGAATTCTTTTTGTTGGTGTAAAAGTGAAGTTTGTGAAGATTGTGTGATGAATGTATATTTTAATGATATTTTGCCTTCATTTATGATATGTTAGGTTGCCTTCACTTACATGAAGAGAAATAGCTGCTGATGGGATGTGATTTTTCTGACCTACTCTGTACATTGGCTTTGGGAGGAGATGGCCTCGTTTTGGCCATGAAATGCCTGTTTCTTTCTACAGACTATGAAGGAACTCTAGGGTTACCAGCTGAGGCACAGCAAACGAATGTCCAAGCAAAGCAAACAGATGCATCCAAAATCAAGATAGCTGACATTGACTAGCAACTTCCTTTCAGGGATCACTACTGGGACCAATGCTGTTTAATATCTTCATGAACAATCTGGATGAGGGATGGAGTGCATACTTACTAAACTGAGGCGGATGGACCTGCTGATACAGTATAGGGCAGGGCTGTCCTTCAAACAGACCTCAACAGGCTGGAGAAGTGAGCCATCAGGATCCTCATGTAAAAGGAGAGGCTGAGAGAACTCATAAAATAATTGGATAATTCACATTGGAGCAGACCTCTGGAAGTCTCTAGCCCAGCCCCCTGCTCAGAGTACATCTCATCAGATCAGGTTGCTGAAGGTCACATCCAGCTGGGTTTTGCATAACTCCAGGGTGGGCAGTGGACTATAAGAAGACACAGTTGGACATTCCATATTGTCAGCAAATGGTGCAGATCCCACAAGCTCCCCAGGCAACCTGATCCAATTTCTGACCACTCTTATAGTAAAAAACAGCTTTCCACATATCTGATTGGAATTGCCCACAGTCCAGCTTGTATCTGTTACCCCTTGTCCTATGTCTGTGCAAGTGTGATACTTAACCAAAGTTTTGGATGAGAAAATGTTACCGTGCCCAACTGAGGCCATAAAACCATCCCTACACCTTGTGTCCTTCTTTATTTGTCAGCTTTGTTCTTTGTCACCTTTGAGAAGAAAAGAACCCAGGTGTCTAGTGGAGAAGGCCAAAGCACCACCATAGGCTGGGATGCCAAGACCTGTGGCTCCTGGTCTAAAAGCATTGTCACTGTCACTCATTGACAGGAAAAGAACCAGCACCTCCACCCAACATGATGATTTATTTGGAGTCGTTCTTAACTTTCCAGTAACACCTTCTTCTTGATAGGAACATCTATCAAGCATCCCTTTGGGGCAGGACGTGGGTACCAAAAGCTAAGACAGTTGCTCCTCAAGTTTGAGGGTCACAAGGAGTGTCCAAAACACTCTAAAGGGTTCTTGTGCAGTACTCGTGCTTGCTTCTTCCTTATCTCTGTGACGTGGCTAAGTGTCTTCCTTACCTCTGTGGCATGGCTAAGTCTTCCCAAACCAGGAGTGCACCAAATGTGGGCTCAGTTCCATGGCCTGACACACTCCAATCTTCTTGTGGAGCCTGCCCCTGTTCTCCCCACCTTATCTTGCTGCACTGTGTAGTAGTTATACGAGATGGCTCAGATTCTTCCTACTATTCAAATTAGATGGGACTAGTTTTATATACAGAGGAATTTAGGCATCTTTCATAGGGTTTCACTTTCTTCTGGTGGAGACTGACAAAATATTTAACAAAATCCTAGTATTTCCATTGTTTTGTAGATAACATGAAAAGCATCTCTTAGTGGGTGGATGAAAGACCAGATGGATGCAGGTCCTCTGTCTGTGGTATTTCCATGTCTTGAGTGAGTCAAAAAATCTTCAAAATATCATCTTGGGTCAAGACGGTACAGGAGGATTGAGGTAAAATAACAAAGCCTATGTCTAGCAGGGTGCTGCTGTGCTCCTTCTGAGGCCAGCACTGCTCAGCGGTTCCCTTAGTGGCCTAGATTGTGGAGCTGACTCTTTACAGATGCCTTAGCATTAACCTAGCAAAGGAACCCATTTTTCTAAAGTTGTGTCTTCTTCCCATGTCCAGGTTTGAGGTTAAGGCAGTATCTAGAAGAGCTAAGAAGTCTTCTGCAGAGGGAGAGATGCTTAAGAAGAGAGTGATGAAGATGAGTGTGAACATAAAAGATAGCTTTAGCTGCTGATTCTTGATAGAGGTTTGTGCTTTTTCTTTTTTTTCACTACTGGTGAGTGCTGAGAACCCAGGCCACAACGGGATGCCTGGGACAGTGGAGTGCACCTCCTGTGCCTCCATTGATCCAGGACAGTAAGACTCCAGTGACCCATTTTGGAACAAGATTCCAGGAGAGTTCAGTGCCACGGACTGCAGCTGATAGTGCTGAGGCACGTTTTGCCCCTGCACACCATTCCCCAGAGTATAACTCTTCACTTTTATGAGTTAGTTTGTGCAGAAGGCAGTAAAAATCCGGGGCAGTCCATCAGCACCGGCTGGCAACAGTCGCGCGGTTACTGCTGGGACTGGCCCCAACCGCCCGCCGTAGCCCCCCCGCCGCGCCCGGGGGGACCGGGCCCCTGCGGAAGTGAGGCCGCGCTGCGGAAGCGGGGAGCGGCTGGCGGGTGGGGGGGGGGCCGCGGGGGGGGGGGGGGGGGGGGC